TGAACCATGCCTGAAGGAAGCCCTTTAATGCTCAAGTTAATTTTTTAAAAAGGGTCTTGCATTTTTTGCCCAGTCGGCCTTGGACTGCGGTCCTCCTACCTACACCTCTCCTGGGTATCCGGAATTATAGACAATGACGACTTCATCCAACAGTTTAAGATAGGGCCTTGCCAAACTTTTTTTTTTTTTGCCCAGGCTGGCCTAGAACTACAGTCCTCCTATTTCTGCCTCCCAAGTAGCTGAGATTACAGACAGGCATGAGCCAACAGGCCTAGTTCTAGGAGAAGGCGCTCAACTACCTTGAAGTCCCATTTTCTGTTTCTAGGTAGATTCCGACTTGCCAGAAGGATGGATGAGATCATGTAGCCTATTTCCATGTAAGGTACTGTACAAAACAATCATAATAATTATCATAGTAATTAACACAGTTCAACAAGATAGCTGGGATTAAAATTTCTCCTTACTACTCCACACTTGTGGAAAGTTCTGTACTTCGTCTGTACTATAAGGAAATTCAATTTACGTCTGAACAGAAGTTTAATGACGCTTAAGAGTGACAGTTTCGTAAGACGATAGCCTTCCATTAACTTTCTGAGCTCCTAAACATTTCTGCTCTATCTTAACTAGCTTTCTCCTCATGTAATCCAACTGTCTCTTTCATTTCAGAAGCATAAGGAATGAAAAAGACAGTAGAATGCATTATTCTGACTTCAGATTCTCCTGTATGTGCAGATGACAAAAATCAGCACACAAAAGCTTCCTTGTATTTTATAGTTAAACAGCTCAAAATGACACTGTTGTATCTGAAGGCCTGAAGGTTGGTGCTGGATCCCAGAATGAGGCAGGCTTAGGCATGCAAACACATGTCCCCAGATAATTGATGGGTAAGATAAATAGTATTCAAACTATTTGTAAATTTGATGTAAATAACGGCTCTCCCACAAGCAGAAGTGGAGAGGAGGCAGGTGTTAAAATCAAATGTAATCTTTTTTTTTTTTTTTTGAACATGGGAAGTCCTAGAGCTCACTAGAGCTCACTATGGAGCCCAGGGTGGTCTTGAACTAGCAATCCTACTGACTCCACCTCCCGAGTGCTGGGATTACAAGTGTGCACCACCACGTTCAGTTTAATCTATTTTTTAACGCTCTGGTTTCTACGCTGTTGACTGTAACTCACCCTAAGGAAACTGGTCAGACACAGAGTCACAGAGGGTGGCAAGCAGAAGACAAAAAGACCTCTTGTGAACAGAAACACCAATTATGTTGGGGAAGTGACCCTGCAAATATAATAATAATAGAGAATGTTCAAATTCTTGCAGTCTCTGTTATTAGATCTTGAGTTCCTCAAACTTTTCCAGCTGGGCTGCCAGCACAGAGGTGGCTCCATGAGGTGCAGATGGGCAAGGAGGGGCAGAGGGATGTGCGCAAGTGTGCGTGGAGGCCTGGCCAAGGAGCCATCAGAGGCACTCCTTGCTGCAGGAATCACGCCACGAGGCTCGGCCAAGGTCTGTCCCAATGACTTTCAATCATTAACTTTTCCCCACGCTCCTGTGATGCCCCCTCCCTTTGATCTTTTAGTCAAAGCCAGTGGCTTCTGCAACCAAAGTCCGAGAAGGGTGAGAGCAGCCTGCAGGTTCTAGAGATGGAGGAAGGAGTCTGAGGTCCAGTTAGCTCACTGGACAATAGCTCAACTGCCTTTTGGACTCAGAGCAGACCCTGCAATTCCTCTGGATTCACAGGCACCTCCCCATGGCTGCCTTGGAGTAGCCTTGGGTTGAGGGGCTCCACTGGGCCCCATTCTCCCTGCAGGGCTGCCTGGCTGATCCAAGAAGGGTGCCCGGAGCCTCTTCTATCACAGGCCCCTACTACAAGGCTGCTCCTTCTTGGCCTACTAAGTGCAGGTGCACAGCCCCACGAAACTCCTTCATCTGTTGACACTTTCCTGGGCTCACCTCTCAGCATCTCAGGTGTGTGGTTACTGCCCCAGGCCAGGCCCCAGACCGACCTGGCTCAAGCTACCACTTCCCAAGGAGCAAGATCCGTCCTGCAGACACCTGAAACACTTCACTGCCCTCCTAACCTGCTGAGCCTGGCTTCCAGTTGGCTTTCCAGGCCATCTCAAAACCAGAACAGTAAGCCTAGCAAACCTTATTTCAGGTCATCGTGGGGTCATTTTTCCTATCTCAGTGACTTTGCTTCTAATGGTAACCCCTACAGCAAAACGTGGGCAAACTTCCTTACCCATCAACCAAGAGTACTACTGTCCCAGGCAGGTCCTGGGGCTGAAATCTCCCCTTCTGGGTTTTCAGAACATCGAACATTCTCCCCTCCTTTCTCCTGCAGCATCTCTCTTTTTCTTTCCCCTCCCTTTCTCTCTCACTCACAAACTGCAGGTATTAATTAAACCTCTTCTAGAAAATAGATTTTTGCCAGCTGCAGGAATTCTGGGTAAGAGCCCGACCTGAAAACAGAAGACAGTCTGAGTAAGAAAGATAAGAGCTGTGGCAGCCAAGGACAAAGCAGGTTCCCACATCCAAGTGGCACTCTGAATGCCAGCCCTTGCCAGATTCCTGAAAAGAGGGGCATGGCACTCCCACACCTGCCCTCTGGCAATAGTCCCTCAGGCTGGCCAGATGGGCAGAGGAGCTGGACTTTGTTCCATCTGCCAGTGGGGCACAGCCACCTCTGACAGCATGTCCCTCTCCCTAGTAGAGCTGCAGAGAGCAAAGCCAGAAAAGTGTGAAAGGGGAACTCACTCCCCGCCACCAGGTTTGAGGTGGGCAGTACCCACTAGAGTGAGGGTAGTGCCACCTAAAATGACCAGTGGGGCTCTGCAAGTGACCCTGTTTCCCTGACACCTTCCTCTATCACTGGCAGGGGTGTGGAGATCCCAGAGGGCTGGGGCCACAGCTCAGGGCCCTGTAACTGTGGACGCCTTGGTGCACCCACATCTCAGCAGGCAGCCTTAGTAGCTTCCCAAGGAGCCATCACCTTCCCACTCCCACTTTTGGGATAAGGACAAGTGATTTCCTTCCAGGAAATTCTGGAGTCCTGAAGTTGTACTGTAGACCCAGATGTCAGACTTGGAGACTGAGCCCTTCATATGCAGCTGGAGGCTAACACACAGATGAGATGATCTGTAGTGAGGTTTTAAAAAATGTATACATATATATTTAACTCTGTTGAATTTAAACAGGGCCACACATGGAAAAACATGGCCTGTGGACCGGGGCTGAGAGAAGAGCCATTTTCTTACTCAGTAAACATGGAGTAAAATACCAAGTAGGGATGCCAGGCTAGGCCTTGGGCTCAGAGATGATGGGATGGGCCACCCCATCCCTGAGTGTGCTCCTGGCCAGTGGGGCTCCAGGCGGTTGGCAGTTTATCACAGCGAGAGAGAAGGAGATGTCATAGGAATTTGTGGACACTCAGAGGGCCCCTAGTGAGCCCTTCCGAGTCCTCATTTTTAAATACTTCTCTACCAACTAATGACTATTCAAGCTGATCAACAGGAAAGAGTCACTGACAGGGCAGTTTCACAAATGCTCAGAGTGCTGTGCTCCAAGGGCAGGGTGGCCCACTCTGAACCTGGTCCCCAGTTGCAGCCTCCTGTGGTAGGATGGGCTGGCTAGGAGCCAATCCCCAAAAGACGTACACAGTCTTTCTCTGAAATGGGCAATTAATTTAATCCAAGACATAATGAAAGTCTCAGAAGGGATGGGGCAAATGCACACTGGCTTTCTGGTGTCACTGCCAGGGTCTCCACCTCTCTCCAGGGATCACAGCTTCCTGCAGCGTCCATCTGTTTTGAGCCTGTTCCCACACACAGATGTCTGGGTTGGGCACCGACACCTCTGAGGAGTTGCTCCCAAGCCCAACCGCAGTCATGTCACGTTTGAAAGGGTGAGCTGGGCACTCACTGCTCCACACTTGGAGTCCACCCTGGGACCTTCCACAAATAGCAACAAATGTCCCCAGGTTGTAGAAGTCTTCCCAGAGGATCCGCCCCTTAGCCATCCATTCCACACTTCCCCCATTCACGCCAGATCCGATCCCACAGCCTGGTGATTTGACTTGAATGCTTAGAAAGCATCCGTGTCTTTCCACGAAGACACTGGCCACCTCGGTGGGGACAGCCTCTTGCCCTGGTGTTCCTTGGCCACCCCACCTCTGAAGCAGGAAAACATGGCTCCAGGTACATCCACAGGTACAGCTGCAGCTGTCAAGTAAAGCAACCTGATCTATGTAAATACCGTTTTGCTTGTCTGTTTGTTTGTTTTTGAGTGTGACAAAGCCGGCTTCTGTTTTTTTTTTTTTTTTTTTTTTTTAAATAGCGACGTATCCAAGTTCACGAGCAAAAGCAATGCCTTGAGGTCTAACCGCACGGACCTAACCTGAGCATGCAGCAAGGGTAACCTGGGCGCGCGGTGGCCCGGGACTCCGGAGTGGCCCGGCGGCAGGTGGCTGCCAACAGAGCCAACGCCACCGTCCCTGGAAGGCCGCGGAGAAGTTGCGACCGCTTCTTACCTGGAGCTCAGCGGGTTCCGGACTGGCGGGGACGGGGGAGCCCGGGAGCTGGGTTTCCAGCTGGGCTGGGGCGGCGGGAGTGCGGGGGCCGAGCACGAGCTGGCGGGGAGGCGGCGTCGCGCTGGGGTAGCAGAAACGGGGGCACCGGGGGAGCCAGGGCTTGGGCCGGGAACGGAGGGTTTGCAGGCAGGGGTGACGGCGCCCAGGACGGCAGAGGTGTTGGCGGGTCGGAGGGAGGGGACAGGGACAGCGCGGAGGAGGGGTTTGGGGGACGCGGAGGGACAGAGGAAGCGATTACTTGAGGGGTGCAGCCTCGATCCTCGGAAGCGGGCCCCGGCCTCGCCACCCGCGTGTCGTGGGCACCAATTTAGTCTCCCATCCCGGGACCCTGGACGCCCTCCAGCCCGCCGGGAGCCTCCCCGCCGCTCAGCGCTACCGCAGCCACCCTGGCCCTGGTGCGCGCGCCGCACTTACCGCCCGTGGGCCCGGCCCGGCCCGGGCTCCGCCGCTGCACCCGGCTGGCCACCCGCTGCCAGCTCCTCCCGGCGGGAGGGGACGCGAGGGCCGCGCGCACCGACCGCGGGCAGCGCGGGGTGCGCGGCGCCCCCTGCCGGCCCCGCCGCGCTCTAGGCGGGCGTCCTCGAGCTCCGCCCCGGCAGGCAGCAGTGCGTGGCTGTGCGGGTCAGCCGAGGCCATCGGCCCCTAGGGATTTGGGAGGGGACTCTGCCTTGGGGAGGCCCCCAGAGACGGGCGGGTCCTTATTGCTCGCGCCGTGCAAAAGCACGCGCATTCCGAGCGCGCAGGGGCCTGCGCGGCTCACAATGCCCGACTTAGCAGCAGGGAGGGCTCGGACGCGCGCCAGGGCTCGGGGACATTGTTCTAGTCCCGCCCCTGGCCCTAGTGTGGGTGATTGGCCTCTAGGTGCCTGGCCCAGCACTGGCGATCGCATTGCCAAGGCGGGCGTGCATGTTTGGGATCCCGAGTGCCTCGCGGACCAAACTGGCATGATCCTTGCCCCCGCGCCCCCACCCCGCGCCTGTCCCACGCTCCTCCCCGCGCGGACCACATCCGGCCTGTGTCAACTCCAGACCTCGCTGCAGCGCGGACCCCAACGGCCTACTGACGCCTTGCAGAGGTCGCGGCCCGCGCAGCCCCCGCCCCATCCCTCCTGGCCCCACGGAGCACTTGCTTGTCTCCTGCCCTATATGTATCCGTGGGGTCGCGCGGTTTTATTTGATTTGATGCAGCCTTTGTGGGTCATTTCTTGGGAATGTTTTGCTCGCCCTAGTGAGGACTCTTACAAGATTTCTCTGTGGGCAGTGACTGATCACCAGCGACGGGCAGAGAGACCGTTGCTGTCAGTTGGAGGTCTGCAGTCTGGCACAACTGGCCCTGGGCAAAATAGTACTATTTTGTTTGCTACTATTTGCTTGCACAAGGAGCTTGACCTGTTCTTTGACTCCTTTATCGATGGCGCCCAAATCCATGCTTAAAAAAGAAAAGAAAAAATCTTTACTTCCATCTCCTTCCAATTTTCTGCTTAGAACTTTCCATCTCAAATCAACACATCTCACACTAAATTCTTTCTCTTCCTCAGCCCCTACTCCGTTTATCCCCGTGATCTAGTCATTCTCCCAGCCACTTTGGGATGAGGGAGTACCGTTGTCATCTGAAGCTTTGATAGTCAGTCAGTATCTGCTTCGGGATATCAGCTAACTGCACCCCCTCCTGTTCCCCAGATGCAACATTCATCTTCACCTTCTTAAGGCCCTGAGTAGGACACAGCTTCCCTTCCAATCCATGAGCACAAACTCTTCTCATGGTCCTCTAAGTGTCACCCTCAAACTCCCACCTGGCTGCCAGGGGCCCGGACACTCCAGCCTTCCACCCAAAACTTCCTCCTTTCCTCTGCAGTTTCCTGCTTGCAGAGAGACTAAGTCCAGGCTCTACCCCTCAGTTCACTGTCTCCCTCTTCCCTACTCAGGTTAGTGGAGTGCTTTCTGCTGTAAATGGCAGATAACTCCCAAACAAACAAGCAAAAATTGATTGGCTTATAAAAATGAAAAGCCTGGGGGCATGGCTGCTTGGGGTCTGAACTTGGTCCCATGGTCTTAGGAACACTTGGTCTCAGTTTTGCTTTTCCCCACCTATGCTATTCTTGCAGGTACACGGGAGGATGCAGCAGATCCAGATTCACAGCCTCGTGGCTCTAGTTCCAGCAGAAAACCAGCCTCTCTCTGCAAGCCCCTCCATTGAGCCTCAGGCCTGGCTCTATTTGGTGGGCTTTGGCCCGTCCATGCTGTTTTCTGGCCACCGTGACTCATAGGTTGGTTCTCTCTCTTTGGCTACTTTGTCACCCTCCTCAGTGAACTGTGGGCACCCTGGATCTCATACTGTCACAGTAAGAAAGGTTGCATGAAGGTGACTCAGGGCACCATCTCTAACCACTTGTCTGCAAAATCTGCCATGACATCACATCACTTTGTGGCAGTCACCTGTGAGGGCACAGACTGTAAGTCTCTCTGCTTCCACCTTCCTTCTCAATCTATGTGGGAATTCCATCTTTGCACCATCCTCTACCCTGTTGGGCACCCATTGCTCAGGCCTATAATCCTAGCTACTCAGGAGGCAGATATCAGGTGGATCGCCATTTGAAGCCAGCCCAGGCAAGTTTGTGAGACCCTGTCTCGAAAATACCAACACCAGAAAATGACTGGTGGAGTGGCTCAAGTGGTACAGTGTATGCCGAGCAACCATGAGCCCTGAGTTCAAGCCCCAGTACCACCAAAAAAACCAAAAAACAAAACAAAAAAAACCACTTGACACCATCATGGCCTCAGGCCCCTTAGGGACCAGATCTGCCTCACACTCTCTCTAGACTCATCACTCACCTCTAGATCAGGATGAGTCTCTCTCCCCTCATCCTGTACTGCCTGAGAACTCCTTCCATGGTAGAGGAGATATCCCCTCTACCGCCCTGAATTCTGAGTGATACCCACCGAGCGCTAAATGAGGAAGGGGCTACAGAGAAGGAAAAAGGAAGGTTCCTCCAGGGAAATACATATGGGGAAGTATCTCGAGACCATTGCCTGCACTAAATCTTCCTCTGGTTGTTGAAGTGAGATGTCATTCTGAAGCAGCAGGGGGCATCTGGCCAGCACCTGGGGAGGCTGTGCCGGAGAATATAGCTGGCAGAGGCAGGCAGAGGGAGAGGCAGCTTTCTGTCGCCCTGGAACCCATATAACACTGTTTTTTCAAGTACATGTTCTGATAAATTTCTCATGTTCTCCCAAGCAAAGTAAAAATTGGATTTTTCTGTCCCTTGCATCCACGATTCCTGACTTGCACAGCACTGGACACACCGTTCTTGCAAGATATGATACCTATTATAACACTATTCTATAACAATATAATAGTAACTATAATAATAACTATAGTTACTCATCTGCTGAGCACCGAGCAAAACAGAGCAGAAATGAAGTACACACCTTCCTTTCTGCCTACTCCTTTGTCCTTTTCCACACGTCGTGGCCCCAGGGAGACCCTCACATTCATTGAGAGCTGAACCCATCCGTCTTGTGAATATTGTCCCAACCTCACCCGACTCATGAATATTCTGCTAAGCTGCACTTGCTGTCATTTTATAGCAGCCCTCCCAGCTGGACTGTGGGCAGCCAGGAGCAGGTGCTCATCTCCAAGTCAGTTTCTACCACTGAGCAAAAACTGACCAAATATTTGCACAGCCTCCTCTGTCCTCACTGTGGACTTAGAGGAACAGTGTTCTCTGCCACCACACTTTAAGCATCTTTTGCCATAGGGGAGGACGACTGTAGCGCACAGACTGAGGTAACAGATGACAATACTGGGAAGTGTTCTGGAAAGGGAGAGGGGATGGCTTATTTGCACCAGTTTCTAAGTTCCAGAGGCCTGTACTGGCTGCAATGGTGCCTTCTAACAGAATTTAGACACTTGCTGAAGATATTTCTGTGGTGCCCACTAAAATGCCCAGGTTGTAAATCTTATTTAAAAATCCCATTTATCAAGAAGGTTTTTGTTTCTCTGATTGTAAAAGGAGTACCCATTCATTGTAGACACTTGAAAAAAGGACACAAAGAATGAAGATTAAAAAATAAAAATGATCCGTGATAGATGTGTGTCAATTCATACAGTCGAGAACATCAAGCTAAGACACAAAGAGGGAAGATGGTCCAGTCCACATTTCTACCCAACTTTTGGCAACCTCAGAGCATCAGGGAGATAAATTCCTGCAAAAGGCTAAAGATCATTTTTTTAGGTTCTTGCAGAAATGATACACTCTTCATAACATAGGCACATTAAAAAAAAAAGCTGCAATCCAGACCTCCCAGCTCTGGGGTGGTCTCCTCTATTATTTATGTATGCATGATTCATTTTACTTATTAGCAGCTGCAATCCTCTCCCCCTACCCCCTACTCTCCAAGCAGGCTGATTACACAAACCCCCTACCTCCCCAGGGCAACTATGAAGGGAAAAACTCATTTTCCCATCTATCTGGGTGAAATTTAATTAGAAAGGCAAATCTGGAAAAACAGAACACAAAATAACAACATTAAGTAAAAATAAAAGATGGCTCTGAGCTTGACCTTGAGCCAAAAAAACACAGAAACTACAATAATTTGATGAATCATGGATCTAAATATGCGTTTTTGTCTTCTGAATGCTTAGCCCCACTAACAGATGTTTCTAAGGAAAAGAAAAGAAAGAAGCAAGCACTGGGTGAACGCACACAAATCATACTTAGAAACCATAAAAGGATAACAGGGGCTGTGGGTGTTTCATTTAAAACTGTGCCTGGTATACAGTAGGCACTTTATAAAGAGAGGTTGAATGAGTGGATGGACCAAGGGTTCAGCCCTCTCACTTTGCAATGAGAAGGCAATCAGGAAGGAGGAGAGAGAGGCCTCGGAATCCAGCAGAGCTTTTTGGAGTTCATGGTGACTTGGGTGAGAGCAACTGGAGTTAAGTCCATGAGAAAGGTGGGACCCAGGCAACACCACCCCAGACTTCCAGTTAGGACCTGATGCAGAAAAGATGGAAGCTAGAAAAGAGCCTTGCAATGCTGAAAGTCAGTGTCAATTTAGGTAGAAGTCTATTCTCAGAGAAAATCAGGGTCAGAAAGTAACCAAGTTGCCCCAAATCATTCACAAAGCAAGCTAATGGGAGAGGCTGGGCTAGAATTTCCTGGCCTTCTAGATATTTCAGGGCCTTTTAAATTGAACTACAGTGTTTTCTGAATGCAAGGAAAATAAAACATGCCAGCATCTCCAAAGAGGAGCTAAACAATTTTATCTTAGTTTGAATTTCTCAAAAATTGCATTCCAAAGTCACTTGGGGTGGCCATTTCCCTCAAAGTGTCCAGGTCACTTAGATTCATGAACACTGGCTGAGTTGGATTCTGACATCCTTTGTCTTCATCCCAGGCTTCCTTGTTGAGCAACACACCAGAACACCCAATTGCTTATCCAATGATTCCACCTGAACCTCTCCTACCTGTCCGTGGT